CCAGGCCACACGGCAGATCTTCCGAGGATCAGAGCCGCTCGGCCTCCAGACGGAGGTCTTTGACGCAGAAGCGCAAGCCGCTTTTCGGGGCCTACTGGAAGCCATGAGGTCTCCCACGGCGCGGATGGCAGACAATGTTCACATCTGCCTCGATAACCTCGCAGTCGCAGCCAGACTCGTCACCCGGAGCCCAGGAAGCAGCCAGGCTAGGTTTAGGGCCTTTGGTGAGCTCTCCGTCTCTTGGGCACAGAGAGGACGGACAAGCTGGACGATGCCTGGCAGGGTATACATTTGGTGGTGCCCTGGACACACGGGAATCGCAGGAAATGAGGAAGCAGACGCTCTTGCCAAGGAGGCCTGCAAACAAATCCCAGAATCACAGCCACAGCCTACATTGACGCACTTGAAGCGGGAGTCCAGAGCAGCCGATGTCCAGGCTTCCGCTAGGAGATGGCCGTCAATCTGCCCTCGGCAATATGCCGACCTTGGGATAAGTCCTCATCCCAAGCCCCCCGAACTTCGCCTTCCTCGTCATTTGCTAGGAAGGCTATATGCGGCGAGATCGCATCATCACGGAGACTTTGCAGCGTACCACGAGAGATTTGCCCACCAAGACGCACTGCTTCACTGCAGTTGCGGAAGACGCAAAACGCCAGTACACTTCTACTTGTGCAAGCGTGGCCGTAAGGCCACCCCGCGGCATCTCCGCCGACGTATGGCGAAGGCAAGCATAGATTTTCTGCTAGGTACTACGCAGGGAGCCTCTCTTCTGTGCGAATGGATGGAGGCGACCAATTTCTTTTCTGAAATATGCCCGACCCATTGAACAGGAACGTTAGGTGAAGACGGCAGCCTGTAGAATAGTATAGATTAGCATAGACAATGTCGGCATCGCCTGGCACGTCCCTTTTTACTCTGGACGTTAAATACATCATCATCATCATCTTCGGCCTCACTCACACCTTCAACCTCACACCTTCCACCCACCCCGCCTTGGCCTAAATATCTTCTTTATCTCTCACCCGTTGACCTCGTTTTTCTTCCAACAACAACAATTCGGCGGTTTCCGGCCTTCGCCCACTGTCTGCTTCAGAATCTCCTCCGGGCTCAATCAACCCGCCGTCCGCATCAATGTGTCTGTCAACCTACTTCTCTACTTCCCTCTTTCCTCAATTAATGTCATACTAGTCCCTCCCGACGTTCCTGAAGCAGGTCGCTTTCCCAAGCACTCGTTGGGTTAGGAGCCCTTGAGCTTAAACAAGAGACCGAAGACATCTACCTCGACAACACTCCCTCACGAAGGAAGCTTCGAAGCGGGCGATGCCACCGCGCGCTCCTCCCCAGTGACCGCTTTCAACGAATCGACCCCGGCTGATTGACGACTGCTTCGATCCGTCATCAGCCGTGACACGCCGCTCGCTACGGTTTCGGCATCCGCAATCACTCACCTCCTCTTGCCGCGATGCATTATCCGACGCGGCGGGCAGGCTGTCGACGAGGACCTGATGCAAGTATTATTGGGGACTGACACATTCCGCACTTGCTACGAGCCGGGGCAACTAGCATGCCACTACAGCTGTGACAGCTTTTAGGCAAAGCCGTCATCCAGCCGAGTTCATTTCGACAACGAGAACGAGGTTTTGAATTTATGCCTCGAGTTCGATGGCCAGCCCTTCTACCGACCGCCCACACCAATCGAGTACGATGGCCAGTTCAGAATCGCTCTGGACCAGGTGCTGGCTCTCTGCAAAGACCGGATCGCCAACGGGGCCGGCGCGCGCAAGGTCACTCTTTACTGGGAGATTCGCTCGCGGTATGATATTCGGTCGGAGAACGCTCCGTCGGAGCAGCAAGATGCGGAGATCTCTCTTCCTGACGGGAGCCATGAGCCGAGGGCCTCTGGCAGTAACAAGGATGCCGACGATGTTAACGATGCCGGTGATACTAATGGGGCCGACGATACCAACGATGTCGACGACACCAACGATGCCGACAAAATCGGTGATCCAGGCGACAAAGACATCGACAACAAAGACGACGATGACGATGACGACGTCGTCTTCCTCGGCGCCGCTCCTCTGGAGCAGCCCACGCACGGTACCGAGGTGTCGGTCGACGACCTCTTGGAATCCTCAGATGACGCCGCCGGCTGGCGCAGGACGTGCCACTTCTTCGGTCATGACGAACACCACAAAACCATGGATCCGGAGCACTGTCGCCAGCTGCCCGGCACGAAGCGGAAACTGCGACCACATCAACTCGACGACGTTCGGCGTGTGATTGAGCGGGCCGCCACGGACGGACGCCTCGGCGCCTTGCTTGAGCATCCCATGGGCGTCGGGAAAACCATTACCTACCAGGCCGTGATCGCGGTACGTCAACTAGCGTACATCAGCCAACTGCACGCCGCAGCCCACCCTGAGCTCCACCACAGCCGGGATGGACCTCACCGCTGTGCCCTGCGTGGGCGGCCCTTCGGTATCCAATGCGCTTGCGAGACGGACGGCTTGACGGCCCGGTTTTTTTCGGGAGTTTCCCGAAGGCGCGACGCTCATCATGGCCCCAAGCTCTGTCGTACCTCAGACGATCAAGAATGCCAAGGCATACTTCCGTCGTGCCGTCGTCATCCACCTGCCGTTGGGTGAGCCGAACAAGCCCGACCACACGGAGACATTCGATTTCATCAAAATTGTCGACTGGCGAATCGTTGCAAGTGCCAAACACGCGGAGGTCGCAGCAGCGCGGGCTGTGTGCGAATATATTGCGGCGGCGAACTTGCCCACCAAGACGCGGAACTCCCAGACGTATGTGGAGTGGGAGGAAGACGGCTCGAAGCTTCTCCAGAATGCCAAGGTCCACCCGACGATGACAGCTCCGGCCGTGGACTCCACCCAGCTTGTTTTGGTCGTCGGCCAACAGCGAGTGAGCGTTGACAAGAGCTGGCGCAGGCTCTGGACCGAAGTAATTGAGCTGCCGATACGTAACCGCAGACAGTCGAGAGTTTTGGTCGGCGGCACATACTTCTTCGGCCTCATCGTGTGGGACGAGGCCCACCAGGTTCGCGGCCTGAGCACGACTACTGCAAAGGTCCTGTGGGAGATGCTGTCGCGACAGACGCGCAGGCCGATGGTGGTGTTGGCCACGGGCAGCCCAATCACCAGCGGGTTCAAGGACCTGGCGCTGATGCTTTCCATGATCCGCAACCAGCCGGGGCAGCGGCAGGCGCTTGCTATCCGGGCCGATCTGGCCAACCTCGACACCAAAGCGGCCAGTCTCCAGAAGGGAGCCGGTGAGCACGTCGTGGCCGGGGAGAATAGGTCCCTCGGCAAAGATGTCATCGCGGAGTGTGCCAGGTTTCTAGGACGCGACATTATCAAGAGGGACCCTATCAGCTTGTTTTTTGGTCATCCGATCATGGAAAAGAAGGAGGTTGTTACGGAGCGGGTCGAATGCCCGATCGACCCCGAGTTCCGTGAGGCCATGGATAGCCTCGTCGCCAAAGTGGGCAGCGCGGTTGTGCAGAAGCTGCAGGCCGCCCGGACAGCAGAAGGCGACGGCGGCGGCGGCGGCGGCGATGACGCAACGCCGCGTCGATCGAAGGGCAAGCAGAAAATGACGTCGCGCGCCGACGGCGACATGGCCATCATCAGCAAGAGCCAGGAGGTACGACAGCTGGACCTCGCCACTCACTTGCCCGGCTTCCTGCTGGTGCGGGAGACGACGCCGATCGAGACTCGCTGGACGGACATCGTCGGTGTGATCGGCTACGGCAAGGGCCTGCCTATCCCGCCGACGTACGTCGACAAGGCGCGCGTGCCTCCTGGCATCTGGAACAGCCTGGACGACATCCTTGCCGACTGCAGCCGGACGGCGAGCCTGCTCAACATCTGCACGAAGGCTTTCGACGATCGCCAGGTCTACCCCGATAATGCCGAGTGCGGGCCCGGGTTCGGCGGTCCCAAGAACGTCGTCATCTTCACCAAGTGGCCTGTTCTGGCCTGTCTGGCCCAACTGTGGTTCGAGAAGAGGGGAGACGACAGATTCCACATAGCGCTTGTGCATAGCGGCGTGCCGGGAGACGAACGTCAGAAGATCATCGACTGGTTCCGGGAGTTCAACGAGCCACGCGCCGGGGCCGGCGGCGAGTACGAGCCCAAGCGGCGCACCAAGGTGTTCATTACCACATACGCGGTCAGCGGCACCGGCCTCGACGCGCTCAAAGTGGCCAACCACTGTGTCCACTTTGGCGTGATGAAGAACGTCAACGAGGAGAGGCAGGCGACTGGCCGGGTCGACCGAAAGGGCTAACTCCTCACGAGCTTCGTGTACTATTTACAGTCGATGGCCGAGCCCCTCAATCGGCTGACGGCGGGGATGAGGGATATAAGGAGCGCGCTTTTTGGGGAGGGGGACTTTTGGAGGAGGTTGTCAGGCTGTTCCCACAGTGTCAGGCGGTCCAGACAGGATCGCAGTAAGAAGGATGATGCGGCCATGCTTGTAAAAGGCTGGGTAGACACTTGTCTGAGATGATTATTTTAAATCAATAACAAACATGTAGAGTTGTCACGTTCTGTCCCTTAAGTATATTACATTAATCTAACATGGTGCTCTGGTCCATCCAACCATTTACTCTGCGACCCCAGGCCATCCAGTTCTCCCGTTTCTTCAAATGCATCTGCATGGCTCCGCCCGTTCATTCTCAGACAAAAGTAATTGTATAAGACTGGATATGATTCGTGGGATCGAATCTGGAACTTTTCTATAAGACATTGCAAGTATTCCAATTCTTTGCATCCCACGTCTTCCATAGCGTTCTGGAGAGAGGGAATCAAGTCTTCGATGGAGTGTTCTAGACCTCTAGGCATGCATCCCTCAGAGACATAAAAGTCGTTCTTGGCCGCATCAGGCCCCTCTGGATTCAACTGCGTTGACGGTCGAAGTCGACAGTAGCTTATAATAGCCAGAATAATGCCAACGAGCTCGGTGCTGACTGAATTAAGAGTCGGACGAACCTATGGAGTTGGATACTGATTTCGGAGACGAGATGGAGCTGCTTTCGGGATCAAGTGAACGGACAGAATAGGGACATGGATCTAGAGCTTGAATGGACTCTGAAGGGGGCGGCCGTGGAGACGACGGCGATTGAGATACCAGTCGGCGCTCTGTTAAGGCGAAGTTATGTTGGGGGGCTTGTTCCGACGCAGGATCTATCAAACTAGAGAAGTCGAGTCAGTTGTGTCCCCATCGGCCAAAGACTTGGTCATACAGCATCCAAGTTACTTCCGCAACGGTGGCCAGGTCTTCGGATTTCCGAAAAGTGTGCTGCCGGACATGACTTTTAACTTCTTCGATGGAGCGAACTTGCAGGTGTTTGAAGCATTCCTGGCATTGACCCTTAAAGATGGTCGGAGCCATGTTGGCAGTGATGGGCGAAGACCAGGAGGTTTCCACCAAAGACAGCGAAACGATGCAGCGACGGCCCCCTATTTATCATTTGCGAGGTTGCAAGGCAACTAGCCTCTAAGCGGGGCGTCGGCCGCCATGCTTGAAACCGGGTGAACGGGCAGCATTGGGCAGCCAGCGCGAGCAGGCTCTTGGCCTGGCCTCGACGGTAGGCCCTCCGCGTTCAGCTAGTGATGGCTTGCATGCCTGCGTCTCCGGCGCGCAGCTCCTGCCTCATCGTGGTACAGTGTGCCAATGGCGGCACTAGAAGGAAGAGCCTGCGATTTATCATTACAGAGGCGATAGTCAAGATTGCTCACAGCGTTCCTTGGGTCGCTGATCGAACTTCTACAGCATAATCAAATGACATATACGGAAATCAATGGGCGACCAAAGTAACTCTAAGAGTAAATGCTTCATTATTGCTTTCTGCCTATCCACTTGAGTGGCCGAGATCTCATCTCAGGGGCCTTCTCTGCAATGAGGTTGATCTCCTCGCGAACATAGGCCTTTGTGATGCGCGGAGGATGTACCTCGCTGTTGTCGACTAGCAGCCTGCGTCGTCTGACCATGCCTCCCAACTTGACGCTTTTGCAAGTTCCTCCAAAAAGCCAGGGAAGGCATGACAGTCTAGACAATAATGACGAGCTCGGGTGCTGCCTGGTTGGACCTCCATGTTGAATGAGGATCGATCGCTGGGTTGTTTCTGGTTCTATGCGTTCTGGAATTTCGCTGCGGGGGCACACGGCGCAGATACTCCCCTGGGTCGCCGAAACAGTACCTTGCGGTCCATAAGAAGGCGCGATGCCGACCGTGGTTCGCATGGTTCGCCATAGTTGCCTGCATCTCAACGCTTATAAATCTTGCAAATCAAATCTGCACCATGGATCCGAGCCTACCAAAACAGCACAGAACGACGACGAAGAACGATGAAGAAAACAACAATGAAGAGAAGTCAAGCTATGAAATATACGAAATATCGACAATAGAGTACTTTTGTTTCAAACATAACAAACGGGGTGATTCCATCATTACTGATTACGATAAGATCTGCGCTCGACACCACAAAAATGAGACGTTTGTCAAGTTCGAGGTGTCAGGCGGTAAGACTGGGCTTTTGCCAATGCCAAAGAAGACACCGAGGTCTATCTTCCAAAACGGCTGTTGCAACCATTGCCTTTGTTCTGGGGGTTACGAGGTAAGCATTGCCCATCATCCCTCTGTGGTTCAACTAGGTCTAAAGAGACTGAAGTGGCATTGCCAAAAGCCATCATGTAAGCGCGAGGAGGGTAGACCGGAGCTCTACAGTGGGTGCAAATAAATAATAAAGGGGGCCGAAAACCGAAGCAGTGTTCTCACTCTGGTATCCGTTTTCAAAAGCATAGAGGCAAATAAGTACAGAATATCCCCATATCGCACTTAAGTTCTTGTCCCCTCACCATGTCCCTGCTGACGGCAGTGTGTGTTTGTGAAATCTCTCAAATCTGACCAGGTCCTGCTTTTCAAGCAGGTGCGCCTGAGAGCTCTTCATCATCGCTATCTGGTGAGAGGCTGCGGTACACGCTGAACACAGCAGTGGTTTTTCTTCAATCAGGTCTATGATAACCTGAAACTTCCTATTCGGCCTGGTCAGTTACTGCCACACATGTGGTGTGGGATGCTTGACATACCACTCAGCAGGGTGAGAGAGGACTGAGAGCCCCTCATTGATTTTTGGAGATAAGCTGTTATTGCACGCTGAGCACACTTGTAGTTTATCTTCGATCAAGTCTTGAATGGCCCTGAGCTTCCTTCTGACTTGGTTAGTTACCATCTCACATTTGCAATACTCGTCGTCGTACAGTTGAGCAGCATCACCATACTTCGCGTTTTGGTTGATGATGCATTTCGAATTTGATTGAAGGCAATTATCGCATGGCGTATGTGGGTTTGAACCGCCATTGCATTTGATCTGAATAGGTAGCATCAGCCTCGTTAAACAATGTACAGAACATATCTGTCTACTGACCTTTGATATCCTACAAGATTCACAAGTTCTTACTGTTCGATTTCTTCGCCATTTTGTGTTT